GTCGTTCATCGCAAAGGTACACAACATGGGAACGCTGACGCCCTGTCCAGGTACCCGCACCCCCTCCAGACAAATGAAGTCAGGTACAGGTGGGTCTGTGTCCCTGTCGAGGAGGACCCGACACCTGAGTCGCAGATGGCTTCTGATGGGTCACATGAGGTGGCGGCGGTTTCTGATATCGCATGCCCGACTGCCGAGGAGGGTGACACACGAGAGACAGGAGTGATCCTGCCAAGTTCAGCGGTGAAGTCCGTTGAGACTGAGGTACCACTGGAAGACCGGGTATGTACTGAGCAGCCGCCACCAGAGTCTGTGGACTTGGCCGCTGCGAAGCTCCCCGCTGACGCGGCGTCCGACAGCGTGCCTCACTGTACAGCTGCGGTGGTGACGGGCCCTGCCGAGGTCGGCGTCTTGACACTGACGATGGCAGAGTTTCACAGAGAGCAGCAACGTGATGACGGCATTCGAGAGATCATGACGTGGAAGAAGCGGCGCGTGCGCCCCAAACAGAATCACTTGCATTCATCAGGCGCAGCACAGTTGCTGCGCGAGTGGTCCAGACTGGTTGTCCAGGGGGACGACAAGCCTGTGTTGTACCGCCGTGTGCAGCCCGAGCGGGATGCCCCGATGTGTCTGCAGATTGTGATGCCGCAGCACTTGCGGCGGGAGCTGCTGGAGCAGAGCCACGCTGGCTTCGGCGGAGGCCACCAGGGCACAGCCAAGCTGGAGGGCATGGTGCGCCGCCAGTTCTACTGGCCGGGCCTTCAGGCCGATGTCAAGGCCTTCTGCCGACAGTGTGTGGATTGCAGTCTGCGCAAAGACCCTCCGCGTGTGCCACAGGCTTCTCTCGGGTCGCTCCAGGCCGCCGGGTTCATGGACCGTCTGGATATCGATATAGTGAGCGGTCTACCCGTCAGTGACGATGGATATCGGTACATTCTCACTTGCATAGACGCCTTCACGAGGTTCGTTTGGGCTTTCCCGCTGAAGACGCAGGAGGCGACTGAGATTGTGCAGACGCTCATGGACGGGATTGTGGCGGTCTTCGGTGTACCTAAACGGGTTCATAGTGACCAGGGGAAAAACTTCGTCGGTAAGGTGGCTTCGCTGTTCTACAAACGTTTGGGCATACAGCAGAGCACCACTACTGCGTACCATCCACAAGGGAACGGGTACTGCGAGCGGAGTCACCGATTTCTGGTGGACACACTCGCCAAGCTCAGCAGAGACCACCAGCGTCAGTGGCCGCGGTACGTCAGTGCCGCCGTGCTGGCGTTCAACGCGAACGCGAGCGCATCTACCGGCTTCTCGCCGTACGAGAGCGTCTTCGGCAGACCTCCGCCGCTGCCCACTGACCTCGCGTACAGTCAGGTGCGCAGTGCCGGTCTGACAGACGCTCAGGCACCGCCTGATACGCTGCAGTACCTGTCCAAGCTGCAGCAGACACTGACACGCACTGACCAGCTCGTGATGCAGGCCAGCGTGGCATCACACGAGCGCAACAAACTGAGACATGACGCGAGAATCGTGGAACACACGTACGCTGTGGGGGACCGTGTGTGGATGAGGCGCCGCGCAGTGACAGGCGGTGAGGTGCGGAAGCTGGCTTCCCACTGGGAAGGTCCGTATCGTGTCGCGAAGAAACTCCGGAATTGGACTTACTCGATTGTTAAGGAGGGAGGTTCAGCTGCCATGATAGTCCATCACAACCGGCTGAAACCATGCCGGACGGCACCAGTTCCCCTCAGAGCGGCTCCCAGGCCGCCGGTGACAGGCGGTCTGAATCCGTCCCGGGCACAACCCGCTGCACTCGGGACGACGGTGAAACAGCCAGGGGCAACCCAGTCAAGGCACCCCTCTGCCTGTGTCCAGAGACACCCCTTGAGACCCAACCCGGTTGGGGAATGGGACCAGTCAAGGCGCGGCCAACCCACTAGCCGTGCCCAGGACCGACCCTCTGCGAGCGGCGAGTCCGACTGGGACCGTGAGGGGCCTCCAAGCAGCGACACAGCAGGTACACACACTGACGAGGACACGGGGCGGCCCACCATCCATGCAGACGAAGGCATGGTGGGTTCTGCAGGGGACCAGGAAACGGCTCCCGAGAAACGTACACGTTCCGGCCGAGTAAGCCGTACCCCTACCAAACTGACAGACTTTGTAGTGGGCTGACGGTGTATGATGTTGCCTGCCGGATGGTGCATCGATAGGGTTAGCGTTATAGTTTAAGTTGCTTGTTTCAATGTCCATGGTTAGGATATCATTGTTGTCGCGTCGCTCTGCCGTGGGTTCGTGGCTTGGGGAAGTGTTGGTTACTTTACATTGCTGCATCTGTGTGATATTTTAGGGCCCAAAATGTCGCTCGGATACACTTGTGTAAATGGCTTGTAAGTGGAAGAACCGTTTGAACCCATCTTGTAGAGTCGCCCCGCACAATATTCTCCGAACCAGATATGTAGGTAACTTTTGTTCTTGTTTCCGGGGCGGAAACTTCAGCGGAAGGGGGTATTGTAGCGAGTTGTATAATTTGGTTGCGTGTATAATTTGGTTGCGGCGACTTACCTGTCCCGCCAGGGTGAATGGCGCGGCTGCGGCAGAACTGTCGTAGCGTGGGTTGTTGAAGGACGCGGGGGTCGTGAAGAGGATGAGATTGGTGATGTTGAACGGCGGTGATGTGTTTGAGTGAATAATATAGAGGCTCGCTACCAGAACCAAAGAATGTGAAATGTATCAATCTGAATCAGCAGTAAACACGCGTGTCCAGAGACAAAGGAGAAAACCCTTTACATGAGTGGTACGAGTTGAAGTTAGTCGGCAAAGTGATAGTGGTTACATTTTGGTATGCCGACGGGGCTCTGCTTGTCAACTTTCTAAAACAGGGGCGCACAATTGATGATGTGCGTCCATTCGATAGACATCGAGGAGAGGCTATAGGGAAGCTGACATAAAGTGTGCAACTGATCCACGGCCACGCACCTGCGTACTTGCGCGGGGTGACGATAAGTTAAGTGATGAAATGTGGCTTCGAGTTGTTGTCGCATCCACTTTTTTCCGAACCCTGCACCGGCTGCACCCTCTGGTTGCCACCTCTTCCCCAACATAAGGAAATTAGCAGTGGCAGCTTCGCTGACTGCAGGGAGACTAAAGCAGCCGTCTTGGACGTGGGATGGGTCCAAAACCCAATTGATTATGGAGACTTTGAGGGCTCTCCCGAAAGCCGAAGCGCTGCGGGAAATGTGTTTGTCTTAGCGGTGGTTATTTGAATAAATGAACTTTTTTGTCTAATAAGTCGATGACGTATCTCTCTGCTTCTTCATGGTCGGGCATGTAACTTTCTGAATGCCGGCTTGTACCGTCATCCTTTTATTTTGGCAAGCAGGTCTTTCTAACTATCGTGGTGTTTCGAGACCTCGTTAGTTGTCGAACCCTGCGATTGGCGTGGGCCTTCAAAGCCGTTCCTGGCCCCGTAGCCGTCTTTTTCATTCGGCTTGGGCCATCAAAACCGTCCCTGGCCCCTTTCAGCACAGCCGTGCTTTTAAGTCGGCGTGGGCCTCTTTCAGAATGGCGTGCATTCCTCCGACACTATTATAACTGCCTATTTAACTGCACGTTTTGTGCATGGAGCTCGTTGAGGACCTAGACTTCCAAAATGTTTTTTTTTTAGATTTTGGTTTGTCTTGTCAATGACCAGGGCGAAAAAATAAGTGGCCGAAATCCGATGAGAAAGGCAGATTTGGAGGTACCCTACCTTTTAAGCCCCGCCACATGTGGCCGGCCGCCGCCTTTGGGCCCTACCAATCATTTTCAGAAAACGACACCCCTGCTCGGGTCTGCCCGCCAGGCTCGCACATGGTTGGAGCTCACTGCTCGCTCCCCACAACTGTGTTAATCTACGAGCAATATCCAGCATCTTTGTGCAATCGAGGCTGGTTTTCGCAGTGCAAGGTTTCACAGGTCGAATGCTTACATCAGTTTTTTATCGCAAGATAAGGCTCATTTGGCCGCTCTCGAGCCGTTAATCGTAACGCTGTAGAGATAGGTAGCCCAGAGGCACTTTTTGATTGATTTGATGTTTAATTCGTTGGATCATTCCCGAGCAGGTTGTTACTTTTTACTGGTAGTACGCACGATAATGAATACCGCGTCACTGCATGGCGAAATGTTTTATAATGAGGCCGCTGGTTTTGGCTCTCGAGTAACAGGGCTCGGTACTGTTGGGCTCAGTGCCATTACTTCCAGGGCTGCGGAGCCGATGAAATTTCGGCGACTCCGACTCTGATTCCAACTCCGGCTTTCAAAAACGAACACCGACTCCGTAGACCTGTCAAAGCTGCGGAGTCGATGGATTTTTGGTAACTCTAACTCCGGCTCCGACTTCCAAAATCGACTCCGACTCCGGTCAGAACTGTTGACTCCGACCGACTCCGACTCCGCAGCCCTGATAACCTACTTCATCCTTTCACAAAGCCTGAGGGTATCATCAGAAATTCGTCTGACGATTAAAGGTGTGCTGCCTAAATCCAGGCAATCGTTTACTGCGCCAGCTTGTTTTGTCGATTGAAAAGAGAAAAGATGTGTGACTGCGGGTCAGAGTCAGCATTGGCATATTTTGCCTTTGTCATGTGTCGGAACATCTCTTCAGCATTAGCGAGAGCTTACAGCTCCTGTATTTTAATTTGTATGTTTCTGGCCAAGTCTTGGGTCGTGTTTTTCGACCTCTCCCCCTACATACAGACCTAAATCGTGTTGTCCCGACCGGGTCCCTTTTCAGACTCTCCAACACTCGCCCGGATAATCCCAGCACCTCATTAGCATGCATCTGCCCGCGTACCCGCTGCTTTCCGCGCGTGTACCCAGGCAGTCCCCGAGAGGTGACCCTCCTCCCTCACCTTCCCATGGGAAAGCCCGAGGGAGCAGTTCCGGGCACCTGCAAGTGCAAGACTCGGCCGCGCCGCCTGTGGCGCCACCGTCGCTACGGCGGCTGGCGCTCGGCCGCCGCGGCAGGCTGCCGTCAATCGAGTGCCGTCGGTGGCAGTGTGAGGTACGGGTGGCCGTAGCGTGTCCAGTGCCGGTTTGTGTAGTGTATCTCGGTACGGTGAGGTATCGCGGACAGTATGTGTGTCTGAGGAGCGACTAACTGCGTCCCAGGATCCGACACCGAGCGAACCGGAATCACCATGAACACCTTTCCACGGAGCGAATCGAAGAAGGTAGGTGGGCTACGCGCGTGGCGCCGAGTAGTATTGATGCCGCCGTAATCGGTCTGCTGCCTGCGGCTGGTAATATCTTTAGGGAACGCCCGGCCCGCGGCGAGTTCGATGGCTGCCGTGCGGAAGGGCCGCTGCAGTCGCGCCCGGCGGGGTATCGTCCGAGCAGTCATTCGGCGGATCAGTGCGGCCCGCGGTACTTCTAATGGTGCCGATCTGCCCATGGGAGCCGGCAGGTCACGTGATCCGAATCGAAAGCTGCCCCGACCCGGCTCGCGGTTGGCCCACTGGCCACTACTCCGCTGTTTTGCACGCTACATCGGCGCTGCCGGCCGCCGCGCCGGCGGGGCTGGATATGGTGCATGGTGGCACGGTGAGCGGCTTCACCGGTTACCGATGGATGGGTGCACAACTGCACAGTACACATTGCACACTGCCAGTCCTGTCTACGGGACATACCTATGCGCCCGTGTGTAGGCAGGAAACGGCAATGCTATGCGTTAAAAAAAAAATACAAACGCTTATATTAGCAAAGCTGGGAAGGATTGTAATTCATGGATACAAGTTCATTGTTTTGTGAACTTCTGGCATACATAACAATGAACGGCCTAGTTACATAATATGTTACATAAAAACCGAGCGGAAGTTTTGAAATGTATATCATTTACCTATCGTATTTCAAGATGCATGGTTGCAATGTATACTGGCTACTGCAAAGTTCATGGATGAGATTGCGTGCAACCCAATTTCTTTCATGTCGATCGGCAGATGAAAGTCAAAGCTTATCACTCGACTTTCAGCGGCTGGCGCTGATCATGTGGCGGTCTGGATGCATGTAAACAGATCCACGCTGGCCGTAGACGCACATGGAGATCGTGGTAGAGGCTGGCTCTGCAGGATGATTCGCTGTTTGTTTGGTCTGCACGCTGGTCCTATAAACACTGCAGTCGCCATCACCGGTACCGTCACAGTCGGCATACGAAATGTAGTACCTACCGACTACTGAGTCTCCGGACTCGCTTGGACGGGGTGCCTCGCTGGAGCACAACCCCGCTCTGAGAGGGCTGAGCTGTCCTCTGGGGACTGATTTGGTGATCTGGTGGTTTGCTGTGCCGTCCAGACCCGACCGCAGCCCTATGTCTGATCTCTCCGGCGGAAGGGTATGTTTGATAGCTGATCAATGATCACTGAGAGGATCAGTATTCAGTTCCATCAGCAGAAGGGCACCTTTGATAGCTGATCAGTGATCACGGAGACGATGGGCTCCAACCCTGATATGTGAGCAGAGCTGAGCTGACGGGGATCTCTCTGCAGTTGGCCAACCCCGGAGCCGGGTGTGCCAGAGTGGACTCCGGACCATGACTGGGGTACGCTGTTTGGTTTGCCAACAGCGAGCTGTGCCGTGCCTTTGTGTACGTTCGCCGGACATATCATTAGTGTTCGTCTCACTGAGGTAACACCAACAATCAGCTGACGCTCCGCCAATGGTGATGATACCGTTTATGGTGTGGAAAATTAGCAGCTTCTTTGGGGATGTTTTCCGACTTGAAGAGGCTGGATCGAATTGGATCGATTTCCGTTCTTTTGAATGGCTTGGTATCTCAGTTCGGCTTTATTACAGAGTTCACTGAATTCGGAAACATCTTCCAAGATAAGGTAGGTATAATTTTCCAAATTTGCGGTGTAATGACGTAAAACGTGTCATTCAGGGGAGGTTCCACGAAGCTTTCACATCAAACGCTTTAGCCCGGGAACCGTTCACATACGAGTATGCTGCTATGAGACCAAGTCAATGGCTTGTCTCACCCGTTCCAGCACAAGTCTCCGCAATCCACTGGAAGGAGGCTCCTCGATCTGCCAACACTGCGCCGTTTATAGAAACCGGCTATATCGACCACTTACCGGCGGACCGGGTTCGGTTGTCGTGTCGCAGCCGACCGCATTTGAGATGCAGAAAACTGCCTAATGCACGCCAGCCCTGTCACGACAGCGGCCGAAATTCGCCGACACGGAAACCTCCTCTGGACAGTCACGTGTCGCCTCCCACGCACATTCGGAGTGATCACGTGACGCTCGTGCGGCCCCGCCCCCGTCCGTAACCCCGGACACGTGACCGGAGTGACCCAGGCACGCGACTGGTGATGTGACCAGGGGTGCCGGCGCGAGCCGAGCCGCCAGCGGACCTTGGCCACGTGCTGGGAGAGCTCCTTTGCCAAGTGCCGCGCTGCCAGGTCAGGACTGAGTGCGGGAGTCTTTTGAGTAAGGGCTCAGTCACGGATGGGCGACCCGCGGCAGGTTTCTGAGAGCTCAAGCAATAATAACTCTTGAGCTATATGTGCAGTGACATTAATCGGATGGAGGATAAGCAACGCCGTCTTTTCCAAGCGAATGCTGTGCGAAACTTCCGTCCACAGAAGAAGCTTTTATCCGCATTAGTTCATCGAGTGAAGGTCAAGTAATGTTCCACAATGTGCATACCTATAAAGGGCAAATACCACTGGGAGGTTAATCCAGACCGAGCCATGTGCATTGTGCAATATTTGCCTCATTTCTAGTTGGGTTGCATGGCGCTCGTCTGTCTTCTTGTCTGTTGTTCTGTCTCTTTGTCTGCCGAAAATGGTCATTTACCCTCCTAATATAGCTGCTCTCTGCACTGCTGTGCACCCCGCCGCCGATATATAGCATTATTCATTGTGAACATCATGCTTATTGCACACCTGCTCTTACCCAACACATGTCTCCCGGTGCATGTCTGCAGAGGGGTCGCCGGCGGGATGCCTGTGTCTGTCGGGGTCCCTGAGAACCTGTCGTGAGTTATGAGACTGTGTCTGACGGCCGGGGGGAGGGGCGACGACCATCGACGGGTGGCAGCCGGCTCGCATCGACGCGCTATCAGATAGGCTGTGTTGACCGGGTAGATTTGACCGGCGCCGGCGATAAGCGCCGCCTTTGTGGCGGCTGGTGACGCGCACCGATATCGGGGTGCTCTCGTGAGTGGTTATTGGTGACCCCCTCTCCGGACTGGGGACGCTGCTGTCTGGCTGAGTGTTGCCCTCAGGTTGCTACGGTGCTGCATGCTGGGAGGGGGTGTCCGGTCCGAGCTGCCTACCTGACCCGATCGGTGACCACGGTGGCTCGGCTGTCCCGGCGCCAGTTAGTCGACGCCGTGTTCGCTGAGTAGCCACCTACCCGTATGTTGAGATGCCTTTGAGGCATGCGTATTGCGTATAGTGTAGAGAAATACCATACCTGTTAGAAAGCCTTGCTAAGTGCTCTATCGCTTCGTACTTTTCCTGCAACTCTGAACACATCACGTTTCGCGCGATAGCAGTCCTCGTGACTCATATCACATTGCTCAAGAGCGTCTTCAGCCTTCACCGATCACTGCCCCTGCACCTCCGCGTGCCCCAAGCATTCACCGGTCGCGTGGCCGAAGATCTCCGCTATCATGGCTCTCACGCCGCCCACGTGCCTCTCAGCCCTGTTCCGCGCCCGGGAGCCGGATAAAGGGCGTGACGTAATTAAATCGGTCTCGCACACCTACCCAACGAACCGGGAGCTCATAATGGCCTCCGAGCGATCCTGCGCTCCTCCTCGCTCCTCTCTTCTCTACGGTAGATGTATTTTGGCGAAAAAGCCCTCAAATATCCAAAAATTCTCGGATTGTCGGATGTCGAGTGTCGGCTTTATTTCGGGTTGTCCGTGCCAGTGTCGGGGACGATGGCGACCTTGTTACGGATTCTGGGCGGGGTCGGTGCCTAAAAAGTCTGGTAAACCCATTATTCATCCCCGCTGCCAGCCCGCCCGTCTCATGCCCCGTCGCCCACGCTGGCGGCGCGCCTCCCCGTCTGTCCCGCCTCCCACGCTGGCACCGAGTCCGCCCTCCTGTCGTTTCCGACGCGACACACGGCCGCCGGTGTTGTTCTGTGACCTGACGACGCTGACTGTGCACGACCTGCCGAGCTGGCTGGCTGCCTGCAGCTCTCAGCGGTGTTCCGGCGCCTGCTGCCTGCTCCCAGTGGTGGCGTTAGCGCTCGTCAGCCGTCGCCCTCCGCTCCGATACCCTTTGTTCGGTCGCCAACGGAGCTGATACACGGCCAACAGCAAACAATCAGTGGTGATTGGAAGCGGCGAGCTGTGAGCTGACGGTTCGAACAGACGCCCTGGGATTGTTGATGGGAGGCAGGGAGGCTGGACGAGATAGTGCTGGGCGTGAGAGAGTTGATAAGGCGCCCCTGAAGTTGTTTGAAGACGGACAGGCGTGCTATCAATCGTTTCGTCGATTCGGGATTTCCCTCCCTGCCCCGCTCATGGAGAGCGCCAGTGTCCGGTAGGGGAATCTGGGGATGCATAGGGAGGCACCCTTTCCGCTGTGCCACGCTCGGGTGGGGAGCGTCAACATGGGGTGGTGAGGAACTCAAACAACCCGCCGCGATTGGCAAAACACTATCCCCCGGCGTCCCTACCGGTCTCTGGAGACCCTCCACCCCTCTGTGGCCGCCCCTCGGGGTCCGCTGCGGTCCGCTGAGGACACGGACACGGCCCTCCCGCGACGCGCTCGCTCACCTAACGTGCCGCCCGGCGCACCAAATGCCTCAACCATGTCAAGGAATTCCCGGCGCCCAGATGGAGAGATGGGGTCGACCCGCCGCCGACCGCCGGCGCCTTATTGACAAAGTGCTGCCTCCTGCTGTGACTCGAATAGCACTGGTGTAAACGGGCGGTATGAATGCCGTGGTCTGGCCTGACCTGATCCGTGGATGGCGGAAGGTGACAGGGGTTAATAGATCTGATAACATGATTGTTGCCTTTTATAAGGGCGCAATGCTCGGTGCAGCCGAATTCAGGAGCCAAAAGCTCTAGAATTTAGCATAACAATGACATTAACATTTTTAGCATACGGATACGCCATTGGCAATGCACAATTGCACAAGCTAACAACTGACTTACAGCGAACTGCTCTGATATGTTGTCATGGACCATGGTCGTCTCTAAAACAATGC